GGGTCTGGGGGCACTTTGGGGTCCCAGTTTGGGGGTTCTCCCCCCCCGTGCCCCCTCCCCACTCTGGGGTGTGTGTCCCCCCCCCCAGGCTGAGGGTGGCCCCCCGGGCCCTGCTGTGCTGCCGCCCCCCAGGACCCCCCCAGAGACCCCCCCGAGCCCCCCAGAGCTGTGGCACCGCGGGCAGGTACCGGGGGGGGCTCGGGGGGTGACCCCAGGGAGGGGCAGGGGGAGACCTGGGGGTGACCATGGACCTCGGGGGGGGAGGGAACCTGGGGATGACCCCTGTCCCTTTGGGGTGACCCCTGTCCCCATAGAGTGACCCCAGTCCCCGTGGAGTGACCCCCACCCTGGTGGTGACCTTGTGGGGTGACCCCTGACCCTCTGGGGTGACCCCAGTCCCTGTAGGGTGACCTCAGTCCCTGTGGGGTGACCCCTGTCCTTGTGGGGTGACCTCTGTCCCTGTGGACTGACCCCAGTCCCCATGGGGTGACCCCCATCCCTGTAGGGTGACCCCTGTCCTTGTGGGGTGACCCCAGTCCCCAAGCAGTGACCCCCATCCCTGTGAGGTGACCCCAGTCCCCATGGGGTGACCCCCATCCCTGTAGACTGACCCCAGTCCCCATGGGGTGACCCCAGTCCCTGTGGGGTGACTCTCATCCCTGTGGGGTGACCCCACTCCCTATGAGGTGCCCCCCGTCCCCCCCAGCAGGATGTCGTTGCCCCCCCCGGTCCATGGTGCCCGTGGGGTGTCCCCTGAGGTGCCCCCAGTCCCCCTGATGTGCCCCCTGTCCCCCCCAGCACCATGTCAGAGCCCCCCCGGTCCATGGTGGCCGTGGCCCAGGTGACGTCGACCCCGGACAAGGAGCACAACTGGTGCCACTGGGGTGACCCCCTGTCCCTATGGGGTGACACCCATCCCCTCTCAGCCCCTCTGCCATGGCAGTGTCCCCATGAGGTGCCCCCTGAGGTGCCCCCAGTCCCAACGAGATGCCCCCTGAGGTGCCCCCTGTCCCCCTGAGGTGACCCATGGGGTGCCCCCTGTCCCCATGGGGTGACCCCCATACTCCCCGTAGTCCCCTTGCCATGTCAGTGTCCCCATGGGGTGCCCCCTGTCCCTGTGGGGTGCCCCCAGTCCCCCTGAGGTGCCCCCTGATGTGCCCCCCGTCCCCCCCAACAGGATGTCGTTGCCCCCCCGGTCCATGGTGCCCGTGGGGTGCCCCCTGAGGTGCCCCCCATCCCCCTGAGGTGCCCCTTGAGGTGCCCCCAGTCCCCCTGAGGTGCCCCCTGTCCCCCCCAGCAGGATGTCGTTGCCCCCCCAGTCTGTGGTGTCCATGGGGTGACCCCTGATGTGCCCCCTGTCCCCATGATGTGCCCCCTGTCCCCCCCAGCAGGATGTCGGTGCCCCCCCGGTCCGTGGTGGCCGTGGGGTGTCCCCTGAGGTGCCCCCAGTCCCCCTGAGGTGCCCCCTGATGTGCCCCCCGTCCCCCCCCAGCAGGATGTCGTGTCCCCCCCGGTCCATGGTGGCCGTGGCCCAGGTGACGTCGACCCCGGACAAGGAGCACAACTGGTTCCAGTGCTCGGGGCTGGTTCGGGAGGCAGCAGCTCGTGGGGCCCGGCTCGTCTTCCTGCCCGAGGGCTTCGACTTCATCGGGCACGGCCCCGAGCAGAGCCTGAGCCTGGCAGAGCCCCTCGACGGGCACACCGTGGGCAGGTACCAGCAGCTGGCCAGGTACGGCAACTGGGGGAACTGGGAGTGACTGGGGACACACCTGGGGACACACCTGGGGCAACTGGGACATGTGGGGACAGCTGGGGACATACCTGGGGACACACCTGGGGCAGTTGGGACAGGAACGGGGTCAGGGATGGGGCTGGGGACTAAACCAGGAATGGGGACAGGGCTGGGGACAAGGGCAGGGTGGGGGGTCCCATGTCCCCCTGTCCCCAGGGAATGTGACCTGTGGCTGTCCCTGTGTCCCCAGGGAATGGGAATGTGATGTGTCCCTGTCCCCATCCCCAGGGAATGTGACATGTGACTGTCCCTTTGTCCCCAGAGAATGTGACATGTGTCTATCCCTGTGTCCCCATCCCCAGGGAATGGGAATGTGACCTGTGGCTGTCCCCCTGTTCCCAGGGAATGTGACATGTGCCTGTCCCTGTGTCCCCCTGTCCCCAGGGAATGTGATGTGTCCCTGTCCCCAGGGAATGGGAATGTGACCTGTGGCTGTCCCCCTGTCCCCAGGGAATGTGACGTGTCCCTGTCCCCGTGTCCTTCTGTCCCCATCCCCAGGGAATGTGACGTGTCCCCGTGTCCCCATTCCTAGGGAATGTGACATGTCCCTGTCCCCCCAGGGACTGTGGTGTGTGGCTCTCCCTCGGGGGTTTCCACGAGCGCGGCCCCGACTGGGACTCGACGGGTCGGATCTACAACTGCCACATCCTGCTGGATAACTCCGGTGGGAGCCCTGGATCCCAACATTCCCAACCTTCCTGATGTCCCTCTGCCACCCCCTGTGTCCCCACCTGCCACATCCTGCTGGATAACTCCGGTGGGAGCCCTGGATCCCAACATTCCCGACATTCCCAACCTTCCTGATGTCCCTCTGCCACCCCCTGTGTCCCCAACTGCCACATCCTGCTGGATAACTCCGGTGGGACCCCCTGGATCCCAACATTCCTGACCCCCCCAGTGTCCCCCAACTGCTACATCCTGCTGGACAGCTCCGGTGGGAGCCCTGGATCCCGACATTCCTGACATTCCTCACCCTCCTGATGTCCCCCTGTGTCCCCAACTGCCACATCCTGCTGGACAACTCCGGTGGGAGCCTTGGATCCTGACATTCCCAACATTCCTCACCCTCCTGATGTCCCCCTGCCACCCCCTGTGTCCCCAACATTCCCAACCCTCAGGATCTCCCCGTGTCCTGTTTTATCCCCCAACATTCCCAACCCTTGGGACGTCTCCCCCTTCCCAACATTCCCTGGGATGTCCCTTCACCCCCAACACTCCCAACCCTTGGGCTGTCCCCCTGTTCCAACATTCCCTGGGCTATCCCTTCACCCCCAACACTCCCAACCCCTGGAATGTCCCCCCGTTCCCAACATTCCCAACATTCCCTGGAATGTCCCTTCACCCCCAACACTTCCAAACCTTGGGATGTCCCTTCACCCCCAACATTCCCTGGCTGTCCCCCCATTCCCAACATTCCCTGGGATGTCCCTTCACCCCCAACATTCCCAACATTCCGTGGGCTCTCCCCCCATTCCCAACATTCCCTGGGATGTCCCTTCACCCCCAACACTCCCAAACCTTGGTATGTCCCTTCACCCCCAACATTCCCAACATTCCCTGGGCTGTCCCCCTGTTCCCAACCTTCCCTGGGCTGTCCCCCTCGTTCCCAGCATTCCCAACATTCCCTGGGATATTCCCAGGGTCGGTGGTGGCCACGTACCGTAAGACGCACCTGTTTGACGTGGATCTGCCGGGCCGGGTGTCCCTGCGCGAGAGCGGCTTCACCAACCCCGGCCCCCAAATCCTGCCCCCCGTCGACACCCCCGTGGGCAAGGTACGGACCCCCCCTGCCCACCCCAACCCCCAGTGACCCCAGTCCCTGTGGGGTGACCCCTGACCCTGTGGGGTGACCCCCGTCCCTGTGGGGTGACCCCAGTCCCCAAGGAGTGACCCCTGTTCCTGTGGGGTGACCCCCGTCCCCATGGAGTGACCCCAGTCACTGTGGGGTGACCCCAGTCCCCAAGCAGTGACCCCCATCCCTGTGGGGTGACCCCAGTCCCCATGGAGTGACCCCTGTCCCTGTGGGGTGACCCCTGTCCTGTGGGGTGACCCTCATCCCTGTGGGGTGACCCCAGTCCCCATGGGGTGACCCCCATCCCCCTGGGGTGACCCCTGTCCTGTGGGGTGACCCCCATCCCTGTGGGGTGACCCCAGTCCCCATGGGGTGACCCCCATCCCTGTGAGGTGATCCCTGTCCCCATGGGGTGACCCTGTCCTGTGGGGTGACCCCCATCCCCCTGGGGTGACCACTGTCCTCATGAGGTGACCCCTGTCCCCGTGGGGTGACCCCAGTCCCTGTTGGGGTGACCCCAGTCCCTGTGGGGTGCCCCCCATCCCCGTGGGGTGACCCCAGTCCCCATGGAGTGACCCCCATCTCTGTGGGGTGACCCCTGACCCCGTGGAGTGACCCCAGTCACTGTGGGGTGCCCCTGTCCCTGTGGGGTGACCCTAGTCCCCATGGGGTGCCCCTGTCCCTGTGGGGTGACCTCAGTCCCCGTGGGGTGCCCCAATCCCCGTGGGGTGACCCCAGTCCCCATGGGGTGCCCCAGTCCCTGTGGGGTGACCCCAGTCCCCAAGGAGTGCCCCCTGTCCCTGTGGGGTGACCCCCGTCCTTGTGGGGTGACCCCCATCCCTGTGGGGTGACCCCTGTCCCTGTGGGGTGACCCCCGTCCTTGTGGGGTGACCCCCGTCCTTGTGGGGTGACCCCAGTCCCCATGGGGTGCCCCCTGTCCCTGTGGGGCGCCCCAGTCCCCATGGGGTGCCTCTGTCCCTGTGGGGTGCCCCAGTCCCCATGGAGTGACCCCAGTCCCCATGGGGTGCCCCAGTCCCCGTGGGGTGCCCCTGTCCCCATGGGTTGATCCCGGTATTCCCATAAAAGCTGGGCCTGGCGGTGTGTTACGACCTGCGTTTCGCGGAGCTGGCGCTGGCCCTGCGCGCCAACGGAGCCCAAATCCTCGCCTACCCCTCGGCCTTCACCGTGCCCACCGGGGCGGCACACTGGGAGGTGAGTGGGGACACCCCTGGGACCCCCCCAGGCCCCCCCGACCGCCCCCCGTGCCCCCCTGCCCCAACCGCCCCCCAAATCCCCCCAGGGTGAACTTCCCCCACATTCCCCCAGGTGCCCCCTCAAGTCCCTCCTGTGTCCCCCCAGTGACCCCCCAAGTGCCCCCAAATCCCTCCAGGGTGAACCCCCGTGTGCCCCACCATGTGCCCCCTGTGCCACCCCAGTGACCCCCCAAGTGCCCCCAAATCCCGCCAGGGTGAACCTCCCTGTGCCCCACCAGCTGCTCCGTGTCCCCCCAAGTGCCCCCAGTGTTCCCTGCCCCAAGTGCCCCCCCATATCCCCCTTTCCCCCCAGGTCCTTCTCTGTGCCCGGACCATCGAGTGCCCCCCATACACCCCATTTCTCCCCCATATCCCCCATTTCTCCCCCTATAACCCCCATTTCTCCCCCCAGGTCCTTCTCCATGCCCGGGCCATTGAGTGCCCCCATATCCCCCATTTCTCCCCCCATATCCCCTATTTTGCCCCACAATGACCCCCATATTTCTCCCCCAGGTGCTGCTCCGTGCCCGGGCCATCAAGTGCCCCCCATATCCCCTATTTTGCCCCACAATGACCCCCATTTCTCCCCATATTTCCCCCCCC